GGTCTCCGTGTTACTCTATCCCTACATTATAAGAACAGAGCTTACCATGGCATCTTATTGGAGAAATGAGCAGTCCGGCAATGGCTGACACTTGGCTGACTGAAGCCAGAAGAAACAGCAGCTTGCCCACTTCTCAAAAACCCACAAAGTGCCTGACAAAGGTCTTCAGCTACTTCAGTAAATAGAAGAGTGAGCAAGGAGGAGTCAAGATCTACCAACAGATTCATGCAAAAAGGTGTGTTAGGTCGCTCTGCTGCTCTCATGCTTTCTCTGCTGAACAGGAACAGTATAACCCCAGGAGAGGAATCCAGTTCCATTCATCGGCTCGGGTTTCTATAATCAATGCAAACACATCACACAATCCCTATTGATCATCACAGACCTATTGATGTGCAGCAGTAGTGCCTCCACAGTGGCACAGATCACACAGCATCTGGTCTCGTTTTATGACAAAAACAAATAGCTAAATAAAATCCAATTAAGACTGATGCCAAATCAAACACCTGCCAGTGTAATTCCTTAAAGAGGAATAAAATCAACTATCAAACTCAGTTCTCAGACATCAATACAACATGGCACAAAATATGAAATAAAAAAATAAAGCATACTTATACACCTCACATGGCACAAATAAGGTGGTACATCAATATAATACACTATGGATTAAATTTCAAATATAATTTAATGTTTAAATTTCCAGGTATTTATTCACTAGATCTCATTTTAGATGTAAAAATTTTAACATCTTTCAAGAAAGAAGTTAGCAAAAGAAAGCAAAGGTGTTAAAAGAATTTCTCATTGTCTCAAATCGCTGCACAAAACACAACTCACATTCTAGCTGTAGTAGCTGACAGAGCACTGCTGAAGTCAAGAGACCTGGTTGCTGCTGTACCAGCTACTCTCTCATGACACACTGCAATATCATCCTGGTATCCTGACGGCTTTCTTTCATGGGGATAATACCTCGGTTTGATAAATCACATTTTTGCATATTTTCCGTTGGCCTCAACAAGGCTTTCGACTGACACCGCACAGACTTCTGTCGTGCAGTGTGAGCTATGAAAGCCCTGCTGCTGGTGCTATCGTTGCTTCTTATCAGCTCTCTTAAGAAAAAAAAAAATCACGGCATGTGACAGCTGATTTGACAGGAAGGCATCTGATATAAATAAAGAATAGAGTGGCACCAGGCAAACACTTGATCACACGCAGTGTGACAGTTACCAGGTTGTCTACTGTAACAAAACTGCAAAAGTGACTTTTATTTTGTTTTAATGTCTGAGATTTCCATAGTATCACAAATATCACATGTGCACTTGTGTGTCTGCTGATTTACATACTGTGTGTATGGGTGGTGAAACTAAAAAATATTCCACAGAAAACCAACTTGTTGGAAGGCTCAGACAAAGTTACTTTACATTCCTTTAATAAAGAAAAGCAGCTTTAAGCATTAGTCATATTGAGTCAGTTTTAAAGAACTAAAGACACATAACCAAAAGTATTTCTGTTTACATAGGGCTGAAGTTTCAGCAGTTTAGCAACATGAAGCCTCAGTTCGCTAATGAATTAATAAATTAATCAGCTCTTTAATTGTTCGTTTTATACAAATTGTCACTGAAGTCCTGAAAACTAAACCAGTGAAAGGGTTAAATCTGAATTTTACCTCTGAATTTCAATAAACACACAACAGAGGGTATATTTCACACGCAGTACTGTCACCACTCCCAAAGGAACAGGTACAGTGTCGCAGGTCCGCGTGCACTGCACATGCTTCAATTAGAGCTACAGTAAACCGCGCGCGCACGTCATTTACAGTAGCTACAGGTGCGTCAAATTTTAAAACAAACGTTTTGTTCAACTCTTCAAATACTAAATAACTCAGAAAAGCAAAAAAACAAAAACAAAATAATGTGTCTCACGAAGATAAACTAGGCTTGATGAATGTATAGTGTACCTTACTCAGACAAGTCATGTCACATCCCCGGCTGAGCACAGCGCACTGTAGAAGCGGTGTCTCCAGCTTGTGGCGGTGCTGCTGTGGCTCTGTGCGTCGGAGCGCGCCGTTTAACTGTCACACACCGCAGCCACACTATCAACTCCTCCTCCGGCGCGCGTCCTGTGGATAAACCAAACACCCCCACCGGCAGCGGGACCCAGGTGGCCGGGGTCAAATGTGATTCGAGTTAAAACTGTTTGTTACCAGGAAAATAGAAGTGGAGCCGTTCCGCCTCTTGTCTTGTGACTTCAACTCCCACTTTTTGTTAAATGAGGTATGTTGAAAAAGTAGGCGATTTTAAACGTTCTTTTTGTTATTATTCAGTTGTTATTGTTTTATTTTACTGCTCTATGAATTCCTGTAGGCACCACAACCGGTAAGGAAACTCGGTTGGTGCCATTTCAAGGCAGCGTGTCCTCAATTCCTCTACTCCAGTCTACTGACTTGTCAGGTTGGGTGGTTTATTTTGCCTCTCTGCTCAGCATTGTGGCACTTTGGTGGGTACGTTTTCACCTGAGAAAACGGCACCACGGCAGTAGGTTGGTTTTCACTGCTGATGAATAAATAACAGGACAATAGCAGCATAGCGTCTGTTGCAGAGATCACACTTGCTGTATCACATAACTCAGGCGTACACAGTGTCCATTTGATTTGATTTGATTTTTGAGCCTATGGAAATATTTTTGGATGTAGTTTGGTATTTAGTTTTGTGTTCCAAGATCATGATGTGAACATGGGGTACGATCAATGCATGTGCTATAGTGAAATTTAACTTGTAGGTGGCCCCCATTGTACACATGACCCCTGGTTGTCCTCTGGCTCTATTTTGGGATCTGCTATGGCAACACATCACATCAACATGTAAAAACTATTTAAAAATACATTTTCTCCA